TTACATGCCTACATATATTTTGGGAATGCGGAGGTTTTTCTCATTTTTTGTTTTGTTTTTGTTCTGGCTTTTTGTTGTTGTTGTTGTTTTTGCTTCGGGGCGCAGCTCGTTTCACATTTTTGCCAATTGGCCAACAAGTGTTGCCAAATTGCGTTGCGGTTGCTGGCCATAAATAACGGTACTTTTGTCATTTATACACATAAATTGCAGCAGACGCTGAAACGCGAAAAAAACGTCTGTGAGCCAATGCAGGCAAACTGGCCCACAGTTCCACATTCCACACAGCCAATGCCAATGCCACATCCAAAACCCAATCCGAGTTACTGGCCATGTCCTGCTGTTGCTGCTTTGCTGTCGCTGTTGCTGTTGCTGTTGATGCTGCTTGGCTAAAAAACGTGGCCGTCGCATAGGCCTCGTGCTCGGCCCACACTAACGACATCGCCGATGGTGACACAACGCAGCTGTCGTTTGCCATTTGGCAATAATTGTTTAATATGCGGGCGCATAAAGGCCGCCAAGGACTGGCCATAAAAAACAACAACCACAGCAACAACAGCTAAAGTAGCAGCAGCAGCAACAGCAACAGCAACAGCAACAGCAACAGCAACAGCAACAACAACAATGACAACATTGACAACCACTGCTGAGGCAGCCATAGCAAAAGGCCAAAGTGTGCTGCCGGGCCAAAGTCGTACGAGCGAGAAGCCTAAGCAAAACCCAAGCCATCGTTCGAGGCACACGTGTGTGTCCAGTGTGCTGTATCCAGTGTCCTGTTTCCGGCTTCCCTTTGTCCTGTGGTTGACTCGTGCCACAGCTGTGTAGGTGACTGTAACTGTAACTCTGGCTATTGCCTGCAGCCGGCTCAAGTAAGTGGCAGCAGCTGCTGGCAGCAGCAAAACTTTGTCATAGTCTGATTGCAGGTATTTCATTTGGGAATTTCCAACCAACAAATAAATAAATACTCTAAGTAGGCTGATCAAACTAGTAAAGGACTTAGTTGAACATTGAAAATAACCAACGAACACAATAAATAACTACATCATTTCCTGAGACTTTCCTGCTGATTTTAAGCAAAGCTGAAAACCCTTCAGCCTCCGTTTAATAGTTTCGATACCAAAAGATCTTAATTGAAGCCCTTTTCTCTCAGGCATAGCATACATTTTGGAGCATTTTGACTATTCAATTGGTAATTTGGCGTCTCATTTCTAAGTTCTAAGCGAAGTACGCACATACATTTAAGTAATTGTTTATAATTGCTGGTCTAATTTCGTGAACGTGGATAAATATGAAACATCAGCTGCAGCTGAACAACCCCGGGGGTTGCTCAGACTGAAGTTTAAAAACAAAAACTAATTGCGCACCAAAAATGCCAAAAGCGAGTCGTTCATGCTTATTGGCAATTTCGATTGTACAGCCTGAAAGTATGCAACACATTTTTGCTGCTGCTCTGCTCTCTGCCAGCGACGACGCTGACGTTGGCGCTGCCAATGCCGCACATGCTGACTGCAGTTAATTACAAAACTGTCAAATCCAAAAGGTGCCACGAATCAACGGGACCAACGGAAAACGAACGAACTAACGAAGCAGCCAAACAAACATACACACACACACACACGGGGAGACACACAAATAAGCACAGGCATGCCAGCAACAGCAGCCAGTCAGCCATTTCAAACACACACACACACACACACGAACTCACACACACACACATTCACACAGACATGCAGAGGCAAATAGGCAGATCAGCCAACAGCTGCCAACGTATGCGAAAAGCTCACAATAAAAACACACAAAAACAAACAAAACAAAAGCTGGCAAAAGGACGACACAGGGGTAGAGAGAGAGAGAGAGAGAGAGGGAGAGAGGGAGAGAGAAGAGGCAGAACGAGGCAGTTGCATTGTGTGAACTTTTCAAAATATACATAAATGTGTATGCATGTGTGTGTGTGTTTGTGTGTGTAATATAATTTTGCTGTATTGTTGTATTAAACGATGTCAACAACAGCCGCCCAGCTGAGCACAACACGCAGCCAGCGTCGCCGTCGGCGTCACCGTTGCTGTCAGCATCGACGTCGCCATCAGCATCGATGGCTGAGCCAAATCGAATTTAATTGCATTGCCGCACGTTGGCTTTTAATTAATTTTTGCTAGACGACTGCTGCTGCTGCTGCTGCTGCTGCTACTACTGCAGCTGCAACCCACAACCAACACCCACAAAACAAACTAAGCAAAAGCCAGCAACAAACAGAAGCGACAAGCTCGGACAGGGCAACATCAAACGTCACGCACAGGTGCAACGTAATTAGCACGAACCGACAAAGCAACTGAACAGTCGCCAGCAACAACACCAGCAGCAGCAACAGCAACAACAGCAGCAGCAGCGAAAGGGCAAAGGGGCAATCCGGCAGGCGGCTGTGCGGCACATAAAAACAAAAGCAAGCAAAACCTTTAAGCCCAAATGCATACAAGCAGCCAGAGAGCCGAGAGCAGCAACAACTGCACAATTAGCACAAGCTTCAATACTTCAAATTCTCAATACTCTATCAAACATTGAATACAAATAAAATACCAAACTGCCAAAAAATGTTGTACTTAGCAAATATCATATCTAAATGTCAGCAATAAATTCTCATAATGAATTCTTGATTTATGTGTTTAGAAATTATCAATTAATTATCAATAATTGAGATATTTTACCACACAAGCAAACATAATAATAAAATAGTGATTTATACCGCAAAGCTGCAAACATTTGAAGTTATATTAAAGTTATGTTCATTATAAGTCTTAAAGAAGCATTTTAATGAACCGGCACAAAGCAAATTAATTTGGATTGATGGCTGAATTTCTAAAAATAAAAATTGTTTTATAAGAAAAGTGAAATCTATTTATAAAACAAGCCATCTCAAGCCATGCCACTTGGAGTTCGGTCAAATTGAAATCATTATATTGACTATGGATATGATATGTATATTTTCTTAAATGAAGCATACAATTTGCCTCCAATTGGGGCACAGCCAATTTTGCCACTTTTATTATTTAAGATTATTTATTTATTGTATTTATTTTGGATTATTTTAATATTCGATTGCGATGCTTTGCCCCAAGTGTAACCAAATCTGTGCAATAGTTGATATTCTTCCATCTCGTTTCTTCAATGGGGAAGCTCGGGGGCAACAAGTACAATTTCAATGTGGAGTAGCAGTAGCAGCAACATGGAGCCCGTTTGGTCGTTGCTCGCCTGGCAGCGTTTTAATAGCTTTGAAATTCCAATGGCAGCTGTGGCGCCATTCGCCAACCGCCCAGCGCCCAAAATGAGCAAAAGAAATGGCAAGAAAGCAAACGAAAAAGTGACTCCGAGAGAGAGAGAGAGAGAGAGAGAGAGAGAGAGAGAGTACGTGGTAGGGGAAAAAGGTCGATGGCGGCAAAATCGTCGAACATTTCGAAAAATTATTGAAAATTTTTTTTAATTTTTCTTCTTAAACGCGCAACGCACGCGATGTTGCAATAACAACAACAATAACAGTTGCAACAGCTGCTGAAGCGATTGTTGTTGTTGTTGTTGTTGTTGTTGTTATTGTTGTTGTTGTTATTGTTTTTATTGATATTAGCTATGCATGCGCCCTGGCCGCCAGCAACTGCCATTTTGTTTATGACGGCGACGATGCAACCAGCTGAGGCAGCCAACATGCAACATGGGCCAAGAGACGAAAAGGGTAAAAGGGCTGCTGCGAATGCCGTGAAACGATGGTGACAAAACTCGCACCATTCACATTTTGTGGCAGTGCCAGTGGCAGCTGCAACAGTTGCCACTCACCATCTCCCCCTCCCCCCACCAACCTGTACCCATCTCACTATTCTGCTGCCAATGTAACTTTATGCGAATTTTTGATGCTCGCATTGGCAGCCTTAAGTTTAGCTGTTGCTGTTGTTCTTGTTGATGTTGCCGCTGTTGCAAGGAGGTTTGTCGATTGTTGATAGGGTAATTGATAACGTCGTGAGTGCTGAGATGGCTTGTGGCAAATAGCTGTTAAATTACACAGCGCAACAAAATATTGACTTGTCGAATGATGTGAACAGAAATGAATAAAAATATGGAAAATGGGACTTGTTAAGTGTTCCCTTAATCTTGTCGAGCATTTCATGTGTACAATAAATAAACGTAGAAAGACTACTCAAGAAATATTGAACATTATTTTAGAAAATGTTCTGTTGCAACAAACCAGGAAAGATATTTCCTTCTTTTCAAATTCAACTAACCGAGAATAATATTCGAAAATGCTGCACAAAACTATGATATAGTGTCGCCATAGTTTTTATGCGTATCCTGAACTTAAGCTCCACCCTTGCAGCTCCTGCTCTGCCTCCACAGCTAGCTGCTGCTCCACCTACCCCCATCCAACTACGCCCCTCACATAGTTTTGGCCCAAAAAGTGGTGGCAACCAATTTCATGGAAGTAGCGGCTTTGTTGGTATTTCTACGTTTTTTATGATTGCCTGCCACAACTTTTTTGCCATCGATATTGGTGGCAGCGACTTTGGCAGCGCTGCTTGCGGTTGCAGCGCCAATTCGACAACAACAGCGATTCCGGCAGCAACTGCAGCTGTGTTGTTGTTGTTGTTTGTATGGATTTTTCACATCGTTTATCTTAGAGGATGGCAAACGTTGTTGGCCCTTGTTGTTGTTGTTGCGTCGCAGCTGCTGCTGGTGAACAGAAATGGCGTTAATGTTGCAACTATAGCTGGAACAGCAGCAGCAGGAACAGTAGTAGCAACAGTAGCAACAAATGCAACAGCCAAGCGGCCACAGCAGCTGCCAATGAGCGAGAACTTAATCTTGGGGATTTAACACTTTCGATATATCTTGGCCGTTGCTGTCTTGTGTGCTCTGCTCCCCACTCCCCCCTCCTGCTGCCCGGAAATGTATTGGCGGCCATTATCGGTTCAGCTGCCATTTTTTTTTTTATGGCCAAGTTATGGGAATGAAACGCGTTCGGCTTTGGCTAAAGTTTCATCAGTCGTTGCTTTTAAGTGATAAAAATACATTTGCAAGAATGTGTGTGTGTTTGTGTAATGGTGTGTGTATGTGTGTGTAAATATACAAGCTATGGCTAAAGTCTAAGTGAGCATGTCGGATTTCAGAGACCCGCCGTGCCCGCCAGCAGTGAGGCGTATTGCTCCGTGCTGAGCAGCCGATAGACACCATCCCGATTCAGATAGTAGATGGGATCCTTGACTATCTCCAGATTATAGCCCTCCAGTGCCAGTTCGCGTTTCTTCAGCTTGAACGTTTCCGTGCGCGGAATCTCATCTAGCAGCCGGATGAAGAGGGGTCGCGCATAGGGGGGCAGACTGCCCCGTATCACAATCGACAAATACTCAATGTCCACCAACTTCCGTGTGGGATCCATAATTGCCGCCATGCCCGCCTTGCCCTCCACATGTGGTATCTATAAGCCAAAACAGTTCAACGATTATTGTTAACTGCATTTTTCATGAAAGTAAATCTAAGAAATTGCTGCAAATTAAATTGCAAATAGCTTTTTAATGTTTAATTTTAGATACTGATAGAGATCTGTTATTTTAATCTGAGTTTATTTTTATGTGTTGACATTTGTTGGTCCACATTGAGCTTGGCCAACTCACCTGAACGCCGTAGACGACACAATCGTTGAGCCGAACACAATTGGTGATGATGGCCTCCACTTCCTGGGTGGCAACATTCTCGCCGCGCCAGCGAAATGTGTCGCCAGTGCGATCCTTAAAGTAAATATAGCCCAATATATCACCGACGACCATGTCGCCCGAATTGAAAAAGCAATCTCCATTGGCGAAGACATTGCGTAATCGCTTCTGCTCGGAGGCCGCCTTATCCACATAGCCATGGAAAGCGCTCACCGCACGCCGGTCATCGACCTTGCCGACCAGCAGACCCGCCTCGCCGGGCGCACAGCGCATACAGCGGCCCTTGGCATCGCGGAGCGGTTCACCCGTCAGCTCATCGCAGCGTAGGATCTGCACCGGATACAGACGACGTCCGAAGATGGGCACAAAGCCAATGGCACCCAAGCGATTTGTGATATTGATTAGATTGGAGTTGCCCTCGGTGGCGCCATAGATCTCCACAATATGCGGTATGCCGAAACGTGTGACGAACTGCGTCCAGATTTGCGGTCGCAATCCATTGCCGTACATCAAGCGGAGATTGTGTAGAGGCTTCTCCTGTGCCTCAAATGGCGTGGCAAGCAGATAGCGACACAGCTCTCCGATATACTGGGCCGCAGTGCAATTGTGTTTGCGGCAATCACTCCAGAAATTCGATGCGGAGAACTTCTTGCGCAGCACCACAGTGCTACCATTGAGTAGGGCAGTTCCCACGCCCACAATGCCACCAGCCGTGTGATACAGTGGCAAAGGATTATAAATCACATCGTTGCTTTGCAGGCCCGCCAAATAGGAAGTGCCAGCGGACATGAATATATAGCGCAGATTCGTGATGACAGCTGCCTTGGGCATTCCCGTCGTGCCGGAAGTGTAAATATAGAGTAACTTATCCTTCGACGAACTCTCCCGATTACGACTTAGCGGCAGCGGCTGTTGTGCCTCGAGAGCGTCGCGAAGTTCGATGGCATTGGGCAGCAGCTGCTGCCCCTCCACATCCGTATACTGATAGATGTCCAGTTCAAGTGGCGGCAGATTCAACAGCACATCGCTCAGCTCGCTGCCAACGATCAGAGCACATGCCTTGGCCACTCGGATGCAGTGCAGCAGCGAATCGCCGCGCAGATGGGAGTTTATCAGCGCGGTTATCACGCCCAACTGGCTGAGACCCAGCCAGAAACAGGTGTACTCCACACGCGTCTCCATTAACAGTGCCACGCAGTCGCCGCGCTTCAGGCCACGCTGCTGAAAGTAACCTGCCACACGCTGGCTGAAGAGCAGCGCCTGCGAGTAGCTCAGGCGACGCTCGTCCATCACAAAGCATATCTTCTCCGGCTGCTGGCGTGCCTGCTCCTCAAAGCAATGCGCCACGGTGCAGCCAGCTCGATCTTTGCGCAGCAGATACAAATTTAAGGCCACAAAACGTTGCAGGGCCCTGGAAGAAAGAAAGCGAGAGAGGGAGAAGGAGAGACAGTGAGAGACAGAGAGAGAGAGAGGGAGGGAGTGAGTTTTAAGGGATTTACCTATTCACAAAGAAGCTCACCTTGTTGTTGCAAGAATAATGTTATTATAATATCTTGTTTAGTGCTAAACAATCTTGTCTATTATTATGTTTACTAAATAACTTAATCTACAAAGAGGTAAAGAATCTAATATACTCGTATAATGCTAATCGAACAACAAAGCTGTATTATAATTAATATGGCTTTTATACATATGAGTTAATGAACAACATAATGTGTTAGTAATCTAAAAAACTATAATAGTTGTTGAGCTTATCAGCTTGATCCAAATTTGCTTATAACTGAACAATCTTATGTACTTGGCAAATGTAACTGAACAATCTTATGTACTTGGCAAATGTCTTGTGATACTTACATGACATCCCTGCGACAGGTCATCACCAAGGCGAAGACATTTGTTGGATTGCGCAGCATTAGGGCCAAGAGGGCGCCAAGTGTTAAGCTGGCCAATGCGCTGTGGCAGCAAAAGAGGCCAAAGATAATGCTGCCAACGATCAGAATGCCCAGCCTTGTGGCCAGCTTCTGTTTGAGATTGAGCTCCAGCAATATTTCCATTCTCTTCTCTTCAGGTCTCTCCTTCTGGTCTAGTTGCTGCTTACACTCGCTCACTTTCGAAGAAACATTTGCATTATTTAGTTTTATTATCAGTAAATGTCTATGTACTAGCAGTTAAATGAAATCTAACTCGATGTCGATATTTCACACTTATGCCTCGCAGTAACGCTCAACTGACACTGACTGTGGCGACCGACCCCCGCAACAACATATACACACATTCATATATCTATCCACACACGACTTCTTATCAGCGTTCCTGATACTATTTCTAGCACCAAGCATTACAGAATTTTGGTTGTGGAAACCCACTCGGTCTCACTATCAATACAATGAGTAATTAACATGGTTTAGGTGCTGCTAGTCAACGGGTGAGTGCCATAACGAGGGGGTGTGCATTGACAGACCAGTCATAAACTATACGCTAGCTTGTGCTGTGATAGGTTGAGAGTACAGTGAAACAACCTAAAAAGTACACTAGCAAAGTAGGTGATCGTATATACATAAAATGTAGAAAATCCATTCATCATTAAATAATATTTTTCATTTTGAAATTAACATCCAAATTATTATAAATAAGTCTACATATTCAATTTGGTTTTTTTGTTGCAACCCTTTTGATTTTCCTCTGGCAATAGTTTCTGATGAAAGAGTTTGTTTCAAGTGGTATTGATTTTTCAATTGATCTTCAGTGATATATGGGACTGGGAAACAATCATATTTGAGTAACAAATATTCATTGACAAACCATTTCTAATCAAATTGATTTTATTAACGACCTTGAAGAATAAATCGTAAATTTGTCCACAAGTAGTCAACAAACAAAATGTTTTCGCTTTCAGATTAAGCAAGTGTCAGCATTTTATGCATTAACAATTAAACATAATCTCGATTTTGTGTTGTGTACAATTATTGCAATGGCCAAAAGGCATTCATTTCATAGGGGTTAATCAACTTGTCAATTTATTTTCCGAAATTTTGAGTGTAATAAACAAGTTCTGGCTTTAATTAATCCAGTTCAGAAGCACTTAAACTACAAACAGCTGATATCGCTATTTGTTACTCTGCGTTGTGCTCTTATCAAAGAACAGGCAAACAAAAGCATAATGAAAAATGAAAGAAAACAGCTGCTTGTACATATGTGATTTCTGATAACAGACAATTCAGGTGTTATTGGCAAAGGTGAGAACATTTAGGTAAACAGAGAGTATTATAATCTAGATATATATTTATAATTGCTTACTCTCCCTTTGTTGTTGATACATTTATACAAAGGGAATTAGCATAAATTTTGCTGATTTTTTAATAATTGCTGCTTAAAGCCAGTAATGACAATATTAATGCGATTTAACTGTACATAAGGGTTAAGGGCTATCATCTGACAACAACAATAACAACAACAACAACAGCAACAAAAATAGAAGCAACGGTTTGAGCAACAGGCGCCTGGCAAAGTTCATTGCTACTGCGGAGATTCCATTTGTGGCTGGCACTGCACAGTGGGCCACAAATGATTGTTAAAATGTAGTTTCTAATCATTTTTTGTTATTTATTTCAATTCTGATCAACAGAATGTATAATATAAAAGTTTTCCCTTGAATATGCATAAATCTCTATAAATATTTCTGATTGCGTTCCACTGTGCGCTGTGTGTCAAGCATAAATATGAATGTGTATTTCTTATATATGTACATATTCAATTAAATATGTTTAGTTATATGTATATTTGTGTGTGTGTGTGTGTGTGTGTCTTGGCATCAAAGATACGGACCGGGACCTTGACTTATTTCGTATGCAACGCACAAAACATTAAACGGTTCTACACGCGTTTGGTTCACTTGGCTAACTTGGCTTACAACATGGACTTGGTTGACTTGGCCCGGCCCGCCAGTGATTGCTGATTACGTGGGTCTGACACTGACTTTGGTTCCAATTCGTTAGCATTGCAGCACACACAACTACACATACAGATACAGATGCAGATGCATATGCATATGCATTCCATTAGACACACAGCTGTCAGGCAAGCGGCCAATTCACTTTTTAGCTGTTGCGTGTGCAATGCAGCTCTCAAGTTTTCAATTTTCAAGTTCTCGCAAGTTATCGCATATGTTAATCAATTGACATACTTTTTGTACAATTAAATGTCACAGCAAACAGAATCACAACAACTGCAAAGCGATCGACGAAACAAGACGAGACAAGACGAGACGAGTTCTAATCGACAGCAACAACTAACAACAACTGATCGTTTTCAGCCGGCTCTGTGTATTTATCAGCCATTAAGAGCAACTGACTGAGCACTGAGCACGTTGCGCTGGAGCTCGAGAGCGTAAGAATATTCCACTGAGAGAACATTAGAATTATCAACGGCTCTCTGGCAATCACATCCCCCATAGAGAAACAGGTTCGGTTGAGGTCTATGATAAATAGAAAAGCATTGTTGAGTTGATTGAACATTTTCTGATTGTTGATTGTTAAAATGTTGAGTTCAGCTGGGAAAATAATAATCAAAATAAATTCTCAAATTATAAATATTAAATTTTTTATAACTTTGAATAGTTTTCATTAATAAATGACTTATTTTTTAAATAACATATTTAAATTTAATTTTTGCATTTAATTTGCCTTTTACTGAGCATAATTTGTTAAACCCTTTTCAGATGCTGCTACAATTTGTAACCGGAAGTTTGCAGCGCGTCTTCTACCCCATAAAAATAATAAGTTTCATCAAGTTCTTGGGAAGCACATCTCAAATTCATTCATATATTTATAATGCATTTTAGGGCTGTTGGTGCAAACGTTTTAACATATTCACCATAGCCAGGCAATAAGAGACTTAATGGGGCTGTTAACAAGCTGTTAAAATTAAATCCAGAAGCAAAAGTTCGAATTTTTTTAATTAAACACACTTGCCCCATAGCCAAATACAAAGAAAAACAATTTGCAGCACCCAAAATAAATTCCAATGTTGAAATAAATTAACATAAAGCCGGGCGCCACTCGCAGCAGCTGCGCAGTCGGCGTCGCTGTCGCCGTCGCTGTCGTCGGGTCGTAGCTGTCAAATGCCGGCAGGCGAAAATAAAAAAAATATATATGTGCATACTTTCAGGCGCGGCGCGTATAAAAAATGTGCGCATACTTTTTGGCAGCTTTTTGAGTTATAGACGGTGAGCAGAGTGAAACCAGTGTGTGTGTGTGTGTGAGCAGTTAGTTTGATTGTGGGTGTGTGTGTGTGTGTGTGCCTGTAATTGACACATGTTACGCTCACAAAAGCGGCAACGGCAACGGCAACTTGCGTACTAACTGCGCCTCTGTTTCGATCTGGCCCAACCCGCCACCCACCATTCACTGCCGTTCCAGTCAAATCGTTATTATCGACAATGGCGCCGCCAAAAACACACACATTCTCGCACACCCACACACACACACGGGGCACGCACATGTTATTCACTGCTGCTGGCTGCTGCTGCTGCTGCTGTTGCTGCTGCACAGCCTTCAAATGCAGGCAACCTCAGTCAACTTTGTTTGTAGCCGGCAAAAACAAAAACAAAAACACACACATACAAAGTGAGTGAGAGAGAGAGAGAGAGAGAGGAAAAGAGAGAGAGAGAGAGAGACGGAAAGAGAGAGAACGAGAGAGAGAGTAGTCAAGCCACTTGCTTGCTGATAACGTTAACGTCAGCTGTGCGGCCCTTTTGCATGGTCGAAGGGGGTGGCGGAGGTTTGTGGGTGTTTTTGGGTGGCACACGTGAGCACCCGAACTTGGAGTCGTGCGCAGGCAAGCGTCAAACGTTTGTACCTTGCCCCATTTGGCCGCCCCCCAGGCGACAACGTGAACCCCAACCTTTCCCCGCCCTTACCCACTCTCTCTCTCTCTCTCTCTCTCTCTCGAATTGCTGCTGCTGCTGTGCTTGGCATTTGTTTGTGTTGTCAACAAAAGTTTCTTTGAAATCAGTAACAGATGTCGATTGAAATGGCACAATTGCTGCTCGCGTCGCTGCCAGCGTCGACTGTGACTGCGACTGCTGCCTGCTGATGGCTGCCTTCTGCCAGTTTCTGTGAGCAGCTGGCGGCTGTTGTTACTGCTGTTGCTGTTGCTCCTGCTGGTGGCTGCCACTTATGATGAATATTTTTGTGGCAGACACACTCACACACACAAACACAAGCACAAACAAGGCGAGACTCTGATTCTGCCAGACATCGCATATTGTGCGCTAGTTGCTCGGTATTTTAATTAAAATTTCTCGTTCAAGTTTTAATGTTAATGCAATTTACCCAATCGAAGCCCAAAGACAATACAATGGTCAAATCTAAACAGATGCCAAAGCTTCCTTTATTGTTCGCAGCCATTGAGTAGACCTCTCCACAGGCTATATTCATACATAAGCCTAGCTAAATAAACTTTAAACAGAGTTGGATAGATTTTAAATAACCTTTTTTTCTTGTTTATCAAACACATGTGTAACTTGTATACCCCCAGTTTATCTGTACTCATATCTAGAATATATACTTGTAATAACAAAATTGTGAACCTTTTCAACTAACTGTCTATTTCAGCTTTGTCGTAAGTAATGGCAATTAGAAGTGAAGGAAGCGCACTTAATATAGACAGTTCAAGATGCTGAATATCTGGTAAGTTTCCATTACAGGGTATTCGGAGGTAGTTGAAACAATTCAAAATGCGTCTCTTGCCTTTGGTCGGTTGAGAAAGGGGGATAAAGTGCTGTTATTGCCGTTGACAACATGTCCAAGTCTGTGGCTGGCTGAGCTAAGCTGTGGCTGCTGGCGATAACAAACGATAACTGCATGTTAAATAGAAGCTAACGAACGGGCAATAAGCGCAGCTAGCAGTGAGGGATGGGGTTTTGGGGGTTAGTCGGGAACAAACAAAACGTTGGCATATGCTGCTGGCCAAAGGCAAGCATCCAGCTGAAGCTGATGCTCCCATTCGACTGGACGTGCAGCTATTTGAATATGCACCCGACGGTCGCCTATCCCCTCCCTCTATCTCTCTTTCTCTCTCTCTGTGTAGTCGGAGCTGGCTTTAGAAAATCACTCAGGTAGCAAAATGCCAGCATCATCAGCATCATCATGATGGGCATGAAGCAATGGAGCAATGGAGCAGCCCAGCACCCAGACCCAAGTTCAGTGAAGGGTTGCAAAAAAGCGCACAGCAGTTGCAGACAAAAGCAAAGTTAAGGCAAGCACAGCCTGAAGCGTCTACAAATGTGTGTGGCTGTGCGTGTGTGTGTGTGTGTGTGTGGCGCAGCCACAAGCCATGTGCATGTGTGTGTGTGTGTGTGTGCAACAAATGCTGTGGACCCTAAAGGGCGATGCTTTGCTAACGAGCTTTTGCTTGCTTGCAATGCGACAGCAGCAGGTGTGCGGAACACACACCAACACACACACACACACTCGCACATGGCACAGCTGAGTGACGATAATTGAAATTTCATCACAGTAGTTTGTGGTTTTGTAGTATACTCACCCACACACACACACAGAACCACACACACACGCACAACGTGCCCCTGCCCATGCACTAATGTGCAAATCATGGCTGCATTTTTGTGTTGCCTGCTTTTAGGCTGCAGCTTCGCACAAAATGATGGAATCGAATTTGTTGCAATCAGTTTATGTTTGTTTTCTTTCTATTTTTTTTTGGTTTAAAACACTTTATTTCTTGGGTTTCTTTTAGCCTTTCTTTGTAGTTGTAACATTTACTTTAGGTTCTTTTTTTGCGCCTTTTTCTTTTGGTTTTCATTTGCATGTTTATAGTTAAAGTACAGTTAAATACGTGTGGTTGTTGTTTAGAAATACAATAAATACTAATTAATAAATTAAACACATACATATATATAATCAATAAATTAGCCATAATGATAGCAATAATAATAGTTCGTAATAATTATAGTATTTATTATAGGTAATAATAATAATAATAATAAAAACTACTATGTTCAGTTTAAGTATTCGCTTCTTCTGCAACTCCTTTTTGGGCTGGGTCCTAATTACTACTTACAACTTTGATTTTTTCTTCTTTTCTTTATTTATATATTTCAATTTGCCTTTAAGATAGATATGTTAATAAATTATCTTTAATGTGGTGCAAATTATATATATATATTTTTTTTTTGTTGTATTTTTTCGCTATTTTTTTTTAAGTGCTCACACAATTTATAATTTAATTACTCATTTAACAGTATTTTTTGTAGGCTACTTTTTTTTTTTGTTGATTTTTTTAGTATATTTTGAATGCTGAAATGCAAAAAGGAATTGAGTTTCAAATTACATTTCTATCTTGTGTTTACTTGAAGTATCTTTAGGTGTGCATTTAGAAAACTATTTGGATAATGCTGACAATGTCTCTTCCCCTATTTTTCATTTCGTTTCTTTTTTTTTTTTGTTTATTATTTTATTATTTTTTTTTGGTTAAGTTTTTCTTTAGTTGAACTGCATAATTATATATTGTAGGTTTAATTATAATCGTAGTGTTTCATATCATATCGCTTCCATTTAATTTGACTAGCACAAGTACTTCTTCTTGGGTTTCATCATGCGAATGCGTCATTTGGAGCCCAATCCATTAGGCACCAGGGCACTGGGCGTCCCAGCGCTGACGGCAGCAGCAGCACCACCACCACCACCACCGCCAGCAACACCACCAACAGCAGTGCCAGCAGCTGCCACAGCAGCCGCTTCACGTGCGCCGGCAGCAGCTGCCTGTAGGTGGGCGCTAGCTGCAGCTGCCGCCGCTGCAGCTGCTGCTGTTGGCGTGGGCGGTGATCGGGTGGAAATGGCGCTTCTCAATCCACTGGCGTTTGCCGAATGCTGCAAATGTTTGGCACTCAGCTCGGTGGCACGTGAGTTGCCGCAAACCTTTTACACACAGAGACAGAGACAGAAATAGAGATTTGATTTAGTAACAGCACTTTAAAGCATTTGCTGCTTAACCCACCTGGTGATGGCTATCCCAATCCCTGTATTGACACGAGGCACTGCAATAGCGAGCCATGTTGCAGCCGGAGCAGGTTTCGGTGGCCTTGCGGCCGCAATTCCAGCATTGCTGTTGCAAATTGCTGCCCTGTAAATGCCAAGAAATGTTTATTTCAATTATTATTAATTATTTTTTTGGTTTGCTTTTTGATCGAGAAGTAATGTTAAATGTTACTTACATTCTGTGCGCTGGTTATGGATGGTGACTTGTTGTCCAGATCGCGCTCACCACTGGAATGCCGGCTCATCTCCATGAAGAACTTTTCCATGCGCAGTCGCTCCTGTGTCATGATCTCCGCTGCACGCGTCTCGGCGGCAACAACGGCACGTTGTATCTCAATCACAGCCTGTCGCTTGACCTGATTACCACAAATAAATATTATAGATATATATGCAGTATATATATTATGATAGTTAACCGACCTGTGTGACTGCATCCTCGGCATTCCGCTTGAATTCGGCAACCTTCTCTTCGGTCTGGCGTCGCAGCTCGGCCATTGCGGCTGGCGTCAATTCCTGGCTGCTGTTGCTGCCGTGCTGCGGCTCAATGCCACGCTGTTGCAAGATGGTAATCGCTCGCTTTGTTTTGTCCACCATGGCCGAGATGCAATTGAGCATGGTATGTATATTCTTCCATTCCTCCTCGCCGCCAGCAGTACCAGCACCACCACCACCACAAGCACCGCCGCCGCCGCCACCACCACCACCACCACCCGGTGGAGCGTTGCCACCGCCGCCACGTGCCACCTGAGGCGGTGCATGACGGGGCAGCTCGCGCTCATCACGCTGCATAAAACCGCCAGCATCGCCGGCGGCAGCAGCAGCTGCAGCTGCAGCGGCGCTATAGTCAAAGGCGAGCATTGAATGAGCTGGCGCCGGATTGGTATGCATGGCCAGACGTTTGCTTGGAGGCGCATATGATGCCCCGGCTGCCATATAATCACTCCACTCCTGCAGGCCATTGTGTGCGGCACTGTTGTGCCCCTGCTCCATCATCGAGTCCGAGGAGCGACGCTTGAACAGTGCACCACTGTTGCCATTCGATGGCGCCTCCAGCTGCACAAAGATGTCGGCAAATTCGGCGCTATGTGGCTGATGTTCCATGACAGCCTGCTCATTGCTGGTGACATATTGCAGCGCCGATTGATTTGTGGCACGCGACAGGGCGAGTATCTCACGTTGCATGAGCGTCACGCTATTCTTGAGCAACGGCATCACATATGGACGCAACGGCAAATTGATGGCCTCCTGCAGCGCCAGACGGAATTCCTCGAGCGAAATGGAACTGCTGCAGAGGGAGAGGATTAGGGCACGCACCCGTTCGCTCACTTCCGGCTGGCCGAGTTCCTGTGCGAATTGCAGCAACGAGCCGAGGAATTTTCTCAGCTTGCCAAGCAGACGCGCCTGTTCCACATGTGCAGCGGCTGCGGCGGCGGCGGCAGCAGCGGCCGCCAAAGTGGCTGCATGTTGTTGCTGGGCGGCCGCTGGCGTTGGCGATGTTGCATTGCTGCCATTGATAACGGGCGAGGCGCTCGCATTGCGCTGCGGTCGCTGCTGCTGTTGCTGTTGCTGCTGCTGCTGCTGTTGATGATGATGTGGCAGCGATGTTGGCGGCGAGTGTGGCGAACGTGGTGCAGCAACCAAATTGCGTGCCAGCTCTGGCGGTGAATCCGGCGGTGTGCGGCACAGTCTATCTCGCTCTCGTTCTCGCTCACGCTCGCGCTCACGCTCTCGACAGCCATTGCTGGCTGTGTCTTTGCTGCTGGAGGAGGAGGAGGAGCTGGAGTTGTTGGATGAGTTGTTGGAACACTTGTCGCCGTTGCTGCTGCTGCTGTTGCTGCTGCAGTTGCTGCTGCTGCTGTTCGCTGTGTTAACGAAAAGGAAGCTCGTTAGTTAGTTCACAATAAACAAGAAACGGCGAGACTAAAAGAGAAGGACAGAGAAAGAGCGGGGGAGAGCGGGGGAGAGAGAGAGAAAGAACAAGTGAAAAGGACAAGCTTAGACAGGATGTGCAGGCGAAGCGCATTACAAATGCATTAGTAACTGCTTGCCACATCAGCCATGCCACAAATACCATACTATATGGCATACATATGCACACACACATATCTATATATATTTATATATAAACATATATGTATATATATATTTCGGTTGTGACCACAACAAGCTACAGCACTTGTCCGCTTCACTCGCCGTTGGGGCATTAACAAATTTGTTTGAACATGGGAAATAAATTAGCAAACATTTTTGGCTGCCATTTGCCAGGCTACAACAGCCAACTGGCTGGCTAACAACGCACCCAAAAGACCAGCCAAGCAAAGTAATTCAGCCGCCTGACGCACTAATTGCAGCACCAAACGCCATGGGGCATGGGGCATGTGGCATGGGGGCTTGGGGTTAGGTTTGGTCGCAACGTGCCTGCTGCCTGACGTTCGGCTCTGATCCTGCTGCCAAAAGCGCCACACTCGACAGTAGCTCAAAAATGAAAAGCTTAACGGAAAAGCCGCAACGCGCAGATGGACGGGACTCAACTATGTTGCTGGGTGGATGGATGAAGGGCACAGTGCGGAGGATTAATCCAGGGCTGTCAGGCGACACGTGAAAAAGGAAATGTTTTCGAACTGCTACAACAATATAGTTGTTGTTGTGAAAACCTTTTAAAATCTGTTATGACTTTATTTTTGATTGGTGGCAAAAGTATAAACATATTTAAATAAAATTTCGCTCGAATTTTAAACATATTTAAAGCAGATTTTATTGCCGTATTGTTGTTGACTTCATTTTAAGTAAATCATTTTAATTGATTTATAATTGGAAATATTGTTAATATACTTTGAAAGTTTGCTTAACAGTTTCTTAAATATGTTTTATTTGTTGTTAATATTTGCATACTTCCACTTGCCTCACACCGTCAACTTATCTCCAGCAATATTCAAATATTATATTGAAATCATTTTCGTCAAAGAATTGTTTTAGCATGCAAGTCTAGCTCTAATTTTGTTCAGTTCTCTATAATTGTGAGTTGCTGTAAAATGTTCTGAATTGGAAATAGGTTTGCAAATGTTTTTGTCGCCTGTTTCGCATTGGGGACCAAACACACACAAAACTTTGTTTGCCCAAGCTAATGGAAATTGTATATATATGTGTGTGTCTGTGTCTGTGTGTGTGTGTATGTGTGGGTGAATGCGTTGGCTGCTGTGTGTGGGGTTGGTGATGAGGAGTGCAAATGTTGCCACTGCTGCTGACGATGACGATGTCGACGTTGAAGGCAGCTAGTCGATGTTGCTGCCGCTGCTGTTGCTGCTGCTGCTGTGGCTGCTGCACAGTTTGCTTTTGTGATAATGATTGTGGATACAGCTGCAACTGGCTGTGTTTTCACAGCCATTCAGGCACGCCAATCGAAGGGACACAAACACACACACAAGATATGTATGTAGAGCATACAGAGTGCGAGTTGGACGCATCACTCAACTGAGTTGGCGGCGGCTTATCAAACGCCAAACATAGACAATGATGGATCACATGATGCCGCCGCCGAGCTCTGTAATTGGCTGTTATGCAAAAGGCAGCAAAAAAAAAAAATTAAAAAAAAAATAAAAAAAAAAAAAACAGCAAAACAGATGAGAATAAATAAAAGAGAACCAAGTGTCGCCCACTCTATGTATCTGTATCTGTATCTGTATTTGTATCTGTATCTGTAGTTGTATCTATCTATTCAAGCTGAGCTCAGTATCTAACTGGCTGGTGTACAATTGTAAAATATTGCAGTTGGCTGAGGCTTAAAAGTTTTGTTCGGACCCACAAAAACCGCAACTGACCCAAAGTTCTGCCCCCAAGAGTGATAGCACAGGGGCGGGAATGGAGTTTGGGAGGTGGTTGGTTGGTTAACAGCTGACCAGCTGTGACTGGATACGAAAAATGTTTCGTCCACGAAAAACTATTTACGAAAATTTTGTGTTGACAATTCACATATTTTCTAAAACATAATGTTGGCAATTTTCTGTAAGTGTCTGTAAGTGTGTGTGTCTGTGTGTGTGTGTGTGTGTGCGGGGTAGGGGGCGTGGCAATGCGGCATTGTGGGAGACTCAACGGCTGGCGCAACATCAACATCATGAGTGAGCTTCAAAAGCAGCAGCAGCAGCAGCAGCAACCATCGATTTAAGGTTACGTATACGCAGCATGGGCCAGTGCGCAGTCTTTGTGTGTGTGTGTGTGTGTGTGTGTATCTATGTGCGGGCAACAGAATTTGCACAGCTGCGTCCCATAGATTGCAGTCGAGCGCACAAAACGAAACGTTGGCAAGTTTAGTTAGTGTTGTTGCTGTTGTTGCTGCTGCCATTGTTGTTGTTGCTGTTGATGTTGCTGCTGTTGCTGTTGCTGGCATAGTCATTTGGGAAAACAATCATTTTGGCAAATATTCATCATGTGCTGTTTGTGATTATCATCATCAGCAGGCGGCCATAATGAAGTTGCTACTGCTCTTGCTTTGGTTGCTGCTATTGCTGCTGCTGCTGCTGCTGCTGTGGGCGTCTCTGCAGCACACAGCAAACATTTGTTAAACAAACTTGTTTTTTTCTCTCTTCTGATTTCCTGTTTTTTTTTTTTTTTTTGAATAGCTCCCAGTTTTGAATGCTAATTAGAGAGCATCGTTTTATAGAATTTAAGCGCCTTAAATGCACAGCGCACACACACATTGTGGGCCTGGGAATTGGCGCAGCAAGCGAAACAGGTACGCACACAGCAGCAACACGACTACAACAACTATATCAGCAACAGCAAAAACAACAACAACAGCAACAACAACAACAACAGCAACGAGCAGCAGCAGCAATCAAAGCAAAGCACACCCAATTCACCAGCCCCCAAAAGCGAGCTACGCTTTTTGCCTATATGCGGGCTGTGGCTGTTGCTGATTTGGCCACCGCTGCTGCTGCTGCTGTTGCTGTTGCTGATGTTGCTGCTGGGAACGCCAACAGCGGCTGTTATTTTTTGGGCTAACCTCCGAAATGGCACAAAAAGCAAGAGAGACAGAGCGAGACAGACAGACCCAGAGAGAGAGATGAATATGGAAAAAAAACTTGTGGCCATTCGATACCGCACACACAAAATTTAACTAGGGGCTGTGGTCCCAGCGAACCGTTGAAACCAACAAAATAAGTTGTTAAACTACAACAGGCAGCAGAAGCCAGCTGCTGGAAGCGACTGCAAAATCAGAATGGTATTTAGATAGATAGATAGAATATATTAATCGATTGAATATGGCTCCAATTAACTGTAGCAAATCAGTTGTTATTTATTATTGTTGAGTCAAATTTCTAAATATTAGTAAATAGAGTAATAGTAAAAAACAACTATATTTTTATTAAAAATGAGCTTCAATCAGCATTGACCTTAATAAAGATTTAACATTTACAAAATAGAAATCAATAAAATATTCGACTTTTCTTGCAGGTCTATAATAAATCATTAACAAATTGAGTAATTTTTAAGAATTATTAAACTGTTCAGATATATCTACTATCCGATTCAATAGAATATACCAATTTCTACTTTATTCTGCACCCAAGAGAAGTTAAAAAACTGATATTCTTCAAACTCTATCTTTCTCTCTCTCTCTCTCCCTCTCTCTCTCACTATCTCTCTTTCTCTCGCCCAAAATGTCTTGGTTTGTTAAGTTGGTTTTTGTTTTTGGTAAACACTCACACTGTTTCACACCTACACACGCACACACACAGCTGCTGGCGTTCACACCATCAATCGTAGTGCCTGTCGCTTGGTTGCACTTGACGGTGCTTATGCTTCCCAAGCCCAATCCCCGCTCGCAAGTTCCAATGAAACGCCTTAATGTGTATGCCCTGCCCATTTGGATTCCCATTCAGATACACATTCCCCTGACGCTGTTCGCCCTGCCCCATTCGCATATGTTTTGTCCACACACACATGCCACACTCACCTTTGAGCCGTCGACTAATTGCAGCCGCAGTTGCTGCTGTGTTTGCAGCCGCTGCTGCTGCTGCCGCCGCCGCCGCCACTGCTGCTGCTGATGAGGCCGCTGACGAGGATGACGCGGATGAGGCAGCTGTTGATGTGGCAACTGCGACCGCTGCCGCTGCTGCGGCCGCCGCGTCGTATGCATCCTTGTCGGTAATCTCCTCCTTAATTATCGCTTTCCCATCGAGCGCCATCTGGAAATAGTAGTCGCAAATTAGTTGGAGAAATTTAAACAACCTATCTGATGTTGCTGTTGCTATTGGTCCCAACCTCAAATGTAACAATAGCAACAGCAGCAACAACAGCAACAGCAACAACAATCGCGATTGTAAGCCCCACAACAATTTGTAATTATAAGCCAGGCAAACAACCTGCACAGGTTCCCATGCGTCGAACGAAAACATCAAGTGACAAAGTTCTCACATTATGATTTCAAATTATTTGATTTCAATTTGATTAAATTGTTTTCTGACATGCAAATTGGGCGCACCGAAGCCTTGAGTTCCTTGTTGTGTCTGAGTCCTGACATTTGCTGCACGATGGTTTCGGTATGTGTCTCTGTGTGTGGCCTGGGACCGCGCCTCATTAGGGCCAGCTGGAGCCCACAGTTTGAAGGCGCATTACTTGTGCATACAAAATTACTCATTCTTAATTAATATTGCCTAAATGATTTAATTTAATTTTTATTCATGTTTGGTCTTAGGCATTCAAAAGTTATAAATATTCCCACATATCTCATTCATTTCTATAAAATCTAGTTTATGTTAATGGAACAATCTTTACTTATATAAGGAAAGATATACATATCTTTTTCAATGCATTACAAATTTGACGACAAAATTATAGCACCCTCTGCCAGGCTGGGTAGTTAAAAGCTTACACTATATATAAATCGATTCATATTTATTGCCTGGTCTAATCGGGTCAGTATAAAGTGAGAAGTAGAAAAGGAAATTTTACCATATCAAAGATCTAATGCAGTATTTTCAACATGCATGCAATTTACGTTATACGATCGGTAGTTCGTCCTGTAAATGATAAAATAGTTATGGGAACTTTCCTCTGACTTGCCGTGCTAAGATTTTCAACAGATAATGTTTGATGCACTATAATAAATATTATCACAAAATACTTGTTTCTTTTGCATTAGAGAGTTAAAAACTTCATGGCTAATTAGATATTGAATGAAACCGATGTGCCAATCGAGATACTTCTTTAATGGAGCCCATTTACAGTTCGACCCTCTGGTCTTTCAATGCATTCATCGCGCACAAACAAGCACACGCAATCAGGCACACATTCGCTACAACTGCCGATTTTCAACACGACTGGCAGGAAAAACATTCAACTGCCACTTACCACCCATTTAAGCACAACCACTCCCCTCTCCTCCCCACTCACTACGCTACCCCAACAAGCATTTCCATTCACCCTTTTGGCACGCACTTGTTCATGTTCATGTCCGGTCAGCTTGGCATGGGAAAATTTGTTGATTTTTATCACTAAAATATGTAAATACCTGGGCGAGCTGTGGGAGTTTGTGCAGCTTGCCGGCTGCATAAACAAAAGCGTAAAAGAACACAAGAGCACAGTGGCAAAAAAAAAAAAATAGAAAAAGAAAACAACATAAAGGAAATTTTCATTCATGTTTTCGATCAATCTCCGGTATGCCCCCAGCAACGCCCCCTGCCAACTGCCTGCTTGAGGTGTAAAAACAGTTTTTTTGTTGGTTGTTCTTTTTTTTGGCGCAATGTTTAAAGTCAATCGTCGGACTAGGCAATATTTACACTAGCCAAAAAGGGGGGTATATTACAGTGAGAGTACGAGAGAGAGAGAGAGAGAGAGAGAGAGAGAGAGAGCAGTGAGGCGGACAGCTGTTTCGCATCAGGCAAATTACTAAAAATGCTGCAAATGAAATTCTATTAAAAACAAACACTTGACACGCAGCTGCCGTTTTGCCAAAGTGCCGACAAGAGCCCGTTGCTGGGGGAGGGGCATGGAGATTGTGGGTTCAACTAATGACGGATCCAGCCGGCATATGGCGTCTATAACACTTGTCAACTGGCAGCCAGCAGGCATTCAGAAACTAACAAAGCGAAACATGCGTGACAAGCGGCAACAACAAGTGTTTTGTGTGTGTGTGTGTGGGTGTGTGCTGTGCGCCAGGTGAGTGTGGGCGGTGGGTGGTGGTGGGATGGTGCTACATTTTTGGCCTGACTCACTTAATAGCTTGGCTGGCTGGCTGCTCGGCTGGCAGCAGCTGCTTAGCAAAGGCACAGCAACAACAACAACAACAACAGCAGCAGCAGCAGCAGCAGGCTATGACGAATGAATCAAATGTCAGCAACAGCAACAGCAGCAGTAGCAGCAGCAGCAGCCGTGTTTTCCTCCACCACCCCATTCCCCGCCTTGTCGTCGCTCAAGCAGCTGTCGCCTGTCGGCGCCAGCAGGCGTCTAAGGCTTCAACTTGAGTTACTTTTCCCTCTTCGTCGCTCGCTCAACCCCCGCAAATACCACACCACACCATACCACACCACGCCCAACACCCAGCTGCCCAGGCAGGCACTTCAAAGCGCCTTCGGTTTCAGCCAAAATGGAAAATGTCGCCCGCAGAACTTTTGCCACAAAACTTGAGAGGGGCAAAAGCGGATGGGCGGTGGTGAAGGTGGAGGTGGTGCGGGTGCGAGTGGTGCGGGTGGCTTACTCTCGTTGGCAACGGCTGCTGGTAAAATTGGCTAAAAGAAAAAGTAATTATTTAAACGTGGGGTGCACGGGGTGTGGCAACTATTAGGCTAGCAATGACAAATTAAAAGCAACAGTAGCAACAACAACAGCAACAGGAACAACTTGCACATAATTTTCAATTAGGCTCAACACAAATCATAAAAAATTCAACGACATTCATTTAATTCGTGTAAAAAAGGCCAAAAGCAGCAGCGCAATAGCCATATGGCTGGCTGGACACCAAAGTATTTTATACTTTTATCCCTTTTGCTAACAAAAACACACACACACACACAGATACACACACCTACATACTTAATCGGCATCGGAAGCAGGAGCGAGTGCAGAGGCAGAGGCAGAGGCAGAGGCAGAGGCAGAGGCAGGAGTTGTGGCAGAGTTAACGAAAAGGCGCGCCAACTGTAATAACAACAGCAACAACAATAACTGTGAAGGGTTGCTTTCTGGGGTTGTGGGTATTCCTATACCCTGTACACATTACAAACGGGTGTTAAACGATGTGCAAAACGATGTAACAGACGCAGAAGCAAGGCATCATCGGAACAACCAGATTCAAGTTGTCTGCATAAATCTGACAGATTTGAAGAGCTGTAAGTTAAATTGTTGTTGTATATAGAAGAGGTAGTATAGGGTATCTTCTCGTCTATACACCCGAACACACTTACGTGTTGGGTTTTGTATTTTTGAGACTTTGGGGTTTGGGACTGGTTGGTTGAAATCACAGCACAGCTGCATGTGCTTTAGCTGTAAGCTGCCAGTTCACGTCCTCGCTGCGTGTGTGTGTGTGTGTCTTTGTATGAGTGTGTAAATGACAGCCGCGTGGACGAGTCCAGTTCACACACACACACACACACACACACACACACACACTGACACACATGTGCACACACAGTCCGGCTTTTGTGTGTGCCTCTGCGGACTGCGTCATTATGCACAAGTGGCGCCGGCCGCCAACGCCGCCTGGAAGAGATTACTGGCGACGACACCTGTGCAACAGCTACAACAACATCAACAACACTAACAACAACAGCAACAACAACAACAGCAACGGACACATTCAGACAAAAGGAGTTATGCCAATGTGTGTGCGTGCTTTACAGTAAAAAGTTTTTTGCAACTTGCTGCGTCAGCTGCTTCATTACACACGAAGCTACAAATGTGAGTGAAATGCGCTGCCACAGAAGTTTGTGGCACCCAATTGCTGAGCACAACAATTACTAACTAAATAATTGCTTAACACAATTTTAAAAAAATCAAACTAAATTTGAGCGATTTATTTTATACAAAATAGATCGAAATCGATAGACGATGAAAGTTAATTAATTATTTTGTTTAACTAGCAGGAAATATCCTCGTTCCTCATATCAAAAGTATTAAGAAATAATTGCAAAGTAATTGAAACATATTATATATATTATATTAAATGTTATGTATATTTTTAAATCCAATTACTTTTAATAAACTGAGCAGGAGAATTTGAAATGTTCTAAATGAATAGTGTACGTAAAATATAATATATAACAAGAGATTTATTTAATTATACCATCAATATAAAAGCTATATTTAACTAAATAATAAAGCTTGATTAATGCAAACAGCTGACATAATTAATGCGCCATCAAATGATTAATATATGCAACAAAAAAGTTTAATTTTTTTAAAGTTAATTTAATGGTTTTTCAAGTAGCCCTCGCCAGATGTCTGTTTGCCCACAGCAACGTGTGTGTGCCACTGCAACGTGCCGCAGCATCGACGTCATTTTAAATTACACACAGTCAGCAACAGCAACAGCATCAACAGCAGCAGCAGCAGCAGCAGCAACAGCAGCAGCATCAGCAACAAAAGCAGCAGCAACAATTTTGCACTAGTCACCGCACGTGTGTCTGTCGCTGCAACTTACTTCCTTTCCCTCTGGCCCTTTCTCTGTGTGTTTGTGTGTGTGTGTCAGGCATAATAAGATAATGGCGTGTCACAGCGACCAACAACAGAACAACAGCAACAACAATGACAATAGCAGCAACAGCAACAACAGCAACAGCAGCAACAGCAGCAGCAGCAGGAAAAACAGTTGAGCGAGTGTCGCGCTTAATCGGCTTTATGGTCTGTTTTATTTCCGATATGAACTGTTTTATGTCCCGCCTGGCCATTAACTAGCCAGTCCAATCCAGTCCAATCCAGACCAGTCCAGTTGGAGTTGTAATTGTTGTTGTGAGTGGCTGCAGCTGCAGCTAGAACATTTGGCAGCCACAGAATGCGACTGTTTGCCACATGTTGCCAGCCAGCATTTCAATTATACAGCTGTTGCTGCTACTCCTGCTGCTGCCTCTGCTGTTGCTGCTGCTGTGTCTGTGGCTGCTGCTGCTGCTGCTGTTGCTGCAAATGCAATTTTCAAATGTAACGAGGTCCCGTTGCTGGACAATTGAAGATTTTCCAGCTGCTTTTGGCTGTTTAT